TCCTTTGAACCTCCCAGGGAACAGTTCTGCATCCTTATTAGAGACTGACAATTAAAGGTCTGTTTTCATATCAAAAGTAATCACGAAAAATTAACTAGGGAGACCTTGGAATGCTGTGAGAGTTTCAGTGTTTTGAGATGGCCAACTTTCCTTCATTTGCTTCAATCAGTATCAACTTGGGTTTCTTTTTATGTTTCCTACTGCCAGGGGAACTTATGAGTTGGCGTTGTGACAACTGAGGAGGATTATGCAATACCGTGAAGATGTGATTAATACATTTTAGGCCACTGTAATCATATTCACTTGCATAATTATCACAGAGGTGCAAAAGTAGGCTAAACTAGGTTTTGAAGGCAATGCTGTAAATGAGCAGTTTCAGTTTTCTGAATTCCTTGTTAGAAGGAGGAGGAAATGCTGTGCACATCTGCAGGAGCTGTGTTGCTCACAGGTCTTGGAGATTCTGTGGATAATTTATAGGAAATGTATATAGTTCTGTCCTAAATATTTTAATCTTCATGTGCCGAGTTACAGGCTTTCACAGAAGATAATCTGTTAGTCTCACACCTTTTCCATTATGAGTCTGAAAAACGAATCTGAGTTTCTTCCTCAGGCTCTGGTGCCATGAGAAATTGCTGAAGAAGTTTGTCATGAACAAGTGCTTTGGTTTCCTTTCACTTCTCAGAATCTGCTCTGGTAGATTAGGAAACCAGTAATGAAAGTGGGATGGATCATAAACAAGTAGGTTGCGTATGTGCTTATTTAGGTCTATAAAAATAATGTAAAATCCAAAGCTGTTAGTGTTTCTGTCACAAAGTGGAAAACCAAAATTAAACAGGTATTAGAATATCGAAGTCCCTCTTCAAAACTGATTTCTTAGTAGTGCTGTTCCCACTTGCAGTTAAGTGAATATGGCTGCTTCAGACTATGGTTATGGCTGTTTCAGAGCAAGGCTGAGGGTCCCCTTTGCCCCCTGGGATTCTCCACACTTTTTTTCAGTCTGTTGGTAAGCCCTCAGACACTTGGGAACAAGGAGACAGACACAGAATTTCTGTTCATCCCCTGCCTTTCTGCCATGTCACAAATATTAGGATTATCTGAAGACTTAAGGAAACAACCTTTTTATTGCAAAGCCTTCATTTTATGGATGTTGATGATGGTTGCTTAAGGTATAAATTGGGATTTGATTTTTGGGAGGGGGAAAAAGAAAAAAAAGAAATCCTTTGTTGCTAGGACTTGTAGCAGTCACGTCACATAAATTGGCAGATCTGTGTATTTAAGGGATTTTTACACTCTAATTAAATGCAGTAGTAGTCTTTTACCTTTTGAAATGAAATCTTTTTTTTTCTTCTGCTACATTCTTAGGGAAAAAACATGCTGTCAAAATCCTTAATGTATCCAGCTATTTGAACATAAGAAACAACATCAAGCTGTTATTTGTTCTGTTGGAGTGTACTCATATTTCCAATCTGAATCTTTTGTACCTGGTGATCTTAATTATATTTGAGCTGGAAGTAGTTTAACATTAAAAGGAATTACAGCAGATTAATCTGTAAACCTGCACAAATATCACATTCCTTTGTATGAAGGTAAGCAGGGCATAGTGTGCATAATTTCATGTTGTTCTCTGTGTAGGTTGCACGCGTAAGGCTGAGGAGTCAGTGTTGCGGTTCCTTGTAACAGCATCAGTTATGGCATGGCTTGTGTCTTGCAGTGGTCAGTTGCATTAGAAAACATTCTTCTCAGGAAGGTGCTCTTCCTTATAATAAGAATAAGCTATCAAAAAAACAAAAAACCAAACAACACCCCCCACCCCCCACCCCAACCTCCAACTTGCCCTGGAAACAGGAATTAGTATACTAATTAGTGTGTGAAAATACAGAGAAATCTTTTAAAGAATGTTTGCTGTAATTTTTTTTACTAAAGTAACATATCTTGAGGTCAACCCAAGAAGGCCATTTATCTCAACCATCCAACTATCCATTAAACTTTTTGCAACTGGAGATACAAAAGAAAATCACTAAAAATTAATTGTGAGAGGTCTGTTTCTCCAGTCCCGATGCAAAAACATCATTGGAATCCAGTTGCACCACTTTAGCCTCAGTGAGAGTGACAGAAGAGCAGAGCCTCAGCAAGTAAGAACCATAGTTTGTACTGGTAAATACATCTTTTGACTCAAATATCAGTGAAGTGTAGTTGTCTGTGATTAAGGCCTTTTGGTTTCCTTGTGTTTTCAAGGCTGGTCAGATGGCACTGTTTGAGCCCATTGAGGAACACTTTGCCAGATAACAGGTAGAAAAGAGAGGTTTCAGGAAGAATATAGAAGAGCAAGCCATTCACATGCAGTCTGAGTTGCAGAAGATATATCTCTTGGACTACACTGGCTACCTGCTGGGCAGCTTCCATACAAATTTCCAAATGGCAGTGAACTTACCAGTTACTTTGATGTTCATGCATCCATTCATCTTGCATAAGTTGCTACCTCATTGCAGTGGCTCTGGGAAAACTGTCATAAATTTTTAATTTAGCATGTGTAGATCTACCAGTAATGAAACTTCTGGCAAGTCTCAAGAATTACCTGCACTTCATGAGACTATTGCAAGTGTTGCTTGTGGGACTGGCTGACATGTTCTGACAGTTCTGGTTTTATCAGTGTCTCATTGCCCCATGTCCTTTGAATTTGGAGGGCTCTCTCTAGTGGACCTTCTTGAATCCTTCTAGTGAATGCTGATGGTCTCAGCAAGTGATCACAAGGCACTAAACAGAAACATCCATCTCAGAATTGAGGGTTCCGTAAATAAAACACAGATTAGTGACTAGTCAATGTAAGAGAATTCTAGGGATTAAAAAAAAAGGGCAGGACAAACAAAATTCTGACTATTTTCAATGACAAAACGTTCTGCTGCCCTACTGTTAGCCATCAGCTGGAAACTGAACTCCCCCTTCAGCGCTGTAGGTATTAATGGTTTTTCACTTTTTGTAGCTTTTCCCCTAAAACAAAAGTACAGTACACAACAGGACTTTGCAGGCTTCCCCATATAATGGTGACAATGTATTTCCACCCTAATTTGTAGCATTTCTGTTATTACAGTCATTAGTCTGTTCTGAGCACAACTGCTGACTATACCAAATTCATGTAGTTGTTCTGTGATGAGGACAAGGATCATCTAGCGAATAAGTGGGGAACACAGTATTCAATCCTCTGGTGACCTTGAATTTGATCTCTCTTCTATCCTTAACAGCCTAGTCAATCTTTGTCCTGTTTAACCTATGTCACCATTACTGATATTTCATACAGACACTTCTGCAGCTGCCTTTTTCTTGATAAATAAAGTTGCCAAAAGAAAGAACTAAGAGTGAACAAGGAAAGAACTACCATAAATTCTTCTTCACATTTTCCTTAGCAGCATCGGGAATGGCCACAAAGGTCTTTCCCAGTTTTTCTGTTCATTTTTTACATTTGTCTGAGGTAAAACCCACAAGTTTGATTGATAATGCAATTTTGCATCTTGAGGCATTGCTGGAAATACAATGGCATGAAAGGCTACTCTGGTAGAGTGCACTTTTCCCCCAGGACTGACTTTAGAAACTCATTGATGTCACTTCCTTCCTCAGTCAGCAAGTGAATTTTCACTAATTCTCAAGACCAGCTGTCCATGCTGTCAACAGAAAGTTATTAAAATTCCTTTAAAGTGAATCAAAATAGCCTAAAAACAAATGTACTGGGAAACAGGAAAGCATCAGTATTCAAAGTCCACAAACCTTTGAGCAAAATAGTGTTGATCTAACGAGAGATTTCAAACACTGCTTTCCTAGCAACTTGTATATCATTAGAGAATGCTAAAAACACATACTCCTTTAATCTTCTATTACCAACAATCTATTTGGTTAAAATACTTCTTGCAAGAATAAATTCTATTTCTCCCAAAGATGAACTCAGTGAACAAGGGAATACATTTTGAGAAGTCTCCCCTAAATGATAGCTGGATCAGGGTTTTTTTCACCAACAACCTGTAATTTTTATATTTAGCAAATAAAAACACAAGTATGCAGGAAATAATTATCATAAGAGACAACCTTTAATATAGCCTAAAGTGCATGTCTTTATCTGAATTACCTATAATGCTTTCATTGAGGAATATTATCAGGAACGAGCAGGGAAGATAATTTCCTTTATACTGTACTTTAACACTTAAAATATTTTCACAAATTTAAAAAATTCTCTCTTGTGCTGTACATACCAGTACAAAAAAGTTCTGTTGAAATGGAGTATCATTTCCAGTGCTAGAGGTGGCAGCCATCCATGCTAGGCAGGTTCACCTGACAGTTAGTAGTGATACTGACAGGTTGCAAACAGTGTCCTATCATTATTACTTAGAAAAACCCTTCTGGATACATGTAGCCTAGCTGGATAGGTAAGTGTGAAATTCCTGACTTTTCCCAATACATGTGGATGATCTCTAGTAGCAAAGGGATGGTAATTGATATGAGCAGCCCTTTTGACAACTAGTGCATGGGAACAGTAAATGAAGCAAAATTACTGTGTCTTTGGATCTAAAAGGAAGGAGGTGTCATTGCTGCTAGGGTCCCAGACAGCTGTAGAAAAGTCATGTTCTGTCCAGGCTTTGATCATGTCTTCAGGAGCACAGTGAAGGACACCACAGAATAAGGAAGCAAGTCCATAATTCAACTTGCCACTTTGAGGATATTATCAGTATAGAATTTCTCCCTTTAGCCAGCTGGTGCCTAACCTCAGTCTTGACACAGGCACCCCAGTTCAATCTTCTTTTTCTCACATCTTGATTAAGAAGAGCTTGTGTTTCTTTTACTTTAGGTGGATTTCCATTTTGAAGTTTCAAGTCCTTTGTACATGTTAAATTCTGTTTCTTAATTATAAAGTGTGATTTTTTTTGTTGTTGTTGAATTCATTGGTTTATATTCTGTATGTACATGATAATATTCATTAAAAGATGTACGAACTAATTATTTTCTTTCTCTTTCAGACTCTGGAAAAAATTTGCAACAACAGTTAATTAATCAGGTATTTTGACACTTTCATACTTTTTGTTACTGAGTTTTTCACTTAGAAGAATTGTAGCAATTAAAGGGGAGAACTTGACAGTCTTAATATTAGCTATAGGTGTGCTAGGGACCACATATCTGACAACTGCCTAGTTCTTCAGATGTGTCAAATCCACAAGAGTAGCCATAATTTTGATTTAAACCTAAGATTTGCCATTTTATCAGTTTAGTTCATCTACTTCTCAGTGTGTTGATGGTGAGGACAAAGCCTAGAGGTAATTTGTTCACTGGTATAAAATTTTGTAGCACAAAATTATGCTTTTTTTAAAAAAAAAAAGTAATATTTCTTCTGTTTGCTAATACTCCTTGTAAAAAACAGAAAGCTATCGATCTGAAATGCATGCACAGCACATGTAAGCGGTGTCTTTCAGTGTTGTTTTCATTTCTGCCATGAATTTTCATTGAGACTTCACTAAATTATGATGTTGCTTGTGGAGGTGTTTTCTGTCTTGTCTTTATTACTGTATCAGTTACGAGTAATTATTTAGGAAAAAACCCTTTATATATTGCAATTTAGCATTTTAGCATCAGAAGGATATAGGAACTATACTGAAAAAAAACCTTTTCCCTGATCAGAAAGAGAGGATGAATCCCAGAGTTTGCTTTCCTAAATTACATGCTCTTATGGATCGAAAGGACCTGACTTGTACAGAAGTACTGTGCTGCTTCTCATTCTTGGCTTCTTGGCCTCTTACTAAATGCTGCTATCCAGATGGCATATAAAAGGGTATCTGGATTGTTCGTGAGATGTATTTTGAAAAGCCACTTTAAAAGCAGTCATTAAGATATTTGTATTCCAGCAATTACTCTCTCTTAAGTAGACTTCCTTTCAAGCTATAAATTGAGCCACTGGCATCATTATGTCACTGTTATCTTTGAACTGATCATCTAGATGGAGGACTAACCCATCAGGTGACTGACCATCTAAGGCTTGGGTCTAACATTTCCCCTGCTGTGGCAGAGCAGGACATGGATGTCACTGTGTCGCTTTCAGTGGCCTGAGCTGGCACCATTCCTGACCAAGTAAGCTCTTGCGCACCTGGTAGCTTATGGGAAGCCTGATCCTGACACCAAATAATATCAAGAGTTGTTACAACCTTCCCATTATCTTGAGAAATTGGTGGGTGAACATATTTAGTCCAGAATATGACGTCACATAAGCAAAGGCAAATCTTCACTTTTTCTAAGTAAGTGTAGAAATATTTTGAAACCTAACGGAAGTTCTGTGCTTTGACCGAGAGTTTATATCCTAAACCAAGTCTAATTAACTTTTATAAACTAAACTGCATTTTAAAATTAGCCTGAAATGTCGTGCAGAACCACTTTTTTGAGTCGTTATTGGCCAGGAGGGGGGGCAGTTGTATTTTTAAAACACAACTTGAGGCTACATTAACAGGGCTGTAAGTGGCTGATGGGAGACTTAATTCTGCACATTTTTTGTGTGACCAAACCAACTATGTGGATGACATTGCCCTTTACTGAAGAAGAGTGTATTGTGATAAAAAGGACATCTGCACAGTTGCCAAAGTTGGATTAAGTGTCGTACTTTGTGTACCTGTCTTGGTCTTTTCCTCCATGCCATTGCCTTGCCCTCCTCGAATTGCTCACCTGTTCTGTCTCTTTGCAGTTAACTTAAGAACATCTAATTTTTCAAAAAAATTGCATTGTCTTGATATGTAAAGTGTGTATCTAAATAAAGCTGTAAAAAGTTGATTTGGTGACAAATGGTAGACATTCACTGTTGATGCCGTATTCCGTACAAACTTCCTCTGGACTTCCAAGAAATGGAAAATTTCAAATTAGAAATCAATTTAATTTTCAAATCTGTAATTTAGGGCACAGTTGCAGAGGCACTGCATATTTGATTTGAAGTAACATTACTTCAATAAAAGGATTTGAACTGGGGTTGATCCTAATGGAATATCTCCCATAGAAGGATTCACGTTTTTTTCAATACTGAACTTGAAAAGTTACATGCAGGATAAGATACTTATCTGACTTAAGGTCCTGTAAGTCCCCTTTAAGTCAGTGCAACAACACTGAGTTAAACTGGCTGCCAGAAATTTAAGTGAGGGAGAAGTGGCTCTGCAGAAGATGAATGATGTTACAACTTGACAGAAGCAGGAGTGCAAAGGGGTGAATATCAGGAAATGTCTTGTTGAGAGGCAAGTGAAACAGAGAGGGGGCGGGGAAATGATAAAGCTGCTGTCTGAGTGTTGTTAGTCTACTAGGTAAACCCCTCACTGTCTGTGGGTATCTGGGACCTCTGCCATCTTGGAGACCAATGTTGTTTCTGTGTGGTTCTTGGCTCCTTCTAAAGCTTAAGCAAAGATTGGTGAAATGTTGTCATAGATAAAACACTAAGGTAGTATCTACTTCCAGAAACCTTTGACTACAGTTATCATCTTCACTGGCTCTTGTTCCCTTTGATCATAAGGCATTTTCTAGTTTCCTTGAGTATCTTTTGTCATTCATGTATATAGATATGCTTGTTTATTTAACAGCAGCAGTCATCTACCACTCTGCCTGAGCAGAGACATCCAGAAATGGTATGCACCCTGCTTTTCAATACCTGTTTTTAACTACCTTTGCAACTTTACGGTAAAACCTGGCACCGATGTACAACCTAATTAGCTGTAGCGTGTTAACTACTGCTAAGGAAAATGCAAGGAAACAAGAACAAATCTTGTGCTTCTGTGTAACAGTCATGGCTAAAACACATATTACAGACCACCAATCAAAATGTGTCTGAAGGCAATCCTTTATGTTTCATCCTTACCACTCAGGTTTGTCTGTGTTGTGGTTTTAATGCATATTCCTACATGTGGTTTTGCCCAGTGCCTCTCAGAAGCTCTGAACAACTAACAAGAATATGCGTACTTGCATTTAGAAGCTGAAGTTGTTTGCACAGTCAGACTTCTGGGTTAAAATCCTAGCTGTGTTTGAGCTCAGACTTGAGCCTGTCCCTTCTACAGTGAAGCTGCAGGTTGGGTCAGGAGGCTAGTGAGAGTACTCCACAATATCTGTCCTACTGTTTTGCCCCTGAGGAGCTCTTTCCTCAAGGCAGGCTCTCTTGCAGTGGCATATCCATCTCTTAGTCTTTTTAAGATCTCTGTCAGGGAGCATTTCCCTTTCTGCTTATGGGGTTGGGGAAGCAGTAACACAGAAATGACTGTGATGAAATAGTGTACTTTCTAGAGCTGGCCTTGGACCAAGGATAACTGCAGCTCTGATCTACTGTCAGTATGTGTACACCTTCTGACAAAGTAAAGAGGTGAAAGCAAACTCAAACCTCTATTAAATGACAATGTAAGTTTGTTGCACAGGTCGTCATGGGGCATGACTTGTGCACCTGAAACATCCTTCCAGTCATATGTGGTGTAATAAACCTATATTATTATGAGCAAAAACTTCACCATTCAGTCCAAACTCCTTGGTTTTCCTTGTGCACTGCTGTAGTTTATTTAAGTACTCTCCTCTATCCCTTCCATCCTCTCACATGACCTAGCTAGGTAAAGTTCAGTCCATGTATGCCAGGTTCCTAGTGCTGCTGCTTTGAGGCTACATAATAGGTATGTCCCTTGCTCCTGTTTTCCCAGTTTGGGCTCATATTCATCAGTGTTGCTTCCTTTGTTCCCCAAAATTAGGAATTTGAAAATCTTCGAGAGCTAAGGCATTTAGCCTACTAAACAAACTGAACTATTATTTCACTTCCATGTGCTTCATAGAATCACATAATGGTTCAGATTGGAAGGCACCTCTGGAGATCCTCTAGTCTAACCCTCTTACTCAAAGCAGGGTCAACTAAAACAGGTTGCCCAGGATCATGTCCAGATGGATTTTGGATACCTCCAAGAATGGAGACTCCACAGCCTCTGGACATCATATACCAGTGCTCAATATTCACCCAGTAGAAAAGTATTTTCTTATATTTAGATGGAATTCCTTTTGTTTCCCACTGCCTCTTGTCTTGTCACTGGCCACCACTGAGAGGAGTCTGGCTCCATCTTCTTTACTCCCCCACCTCCCCTCATCAGGTATGTAAATACATTTATAAGATCCCCCTTAAGCCTTCTCTTTTCCAGGCTGAATAGTACCAGCTCTCTCAGCCACTGCTCGTATGTCAGATGTGCCTATTGCTTAAATATCTTTGTGGCCCTTCACTGGACTCACTCCAGCATGTCTATGTCTTGTGTACTGAGAAGCCCAGAACTGGACACAGCATTCCCGGTGCATCTCACCAGAGATGAGCAAAGTTGAAGGATCACCTCTCCTGATGTGCTGGAAATGCTCTGCCTAGTGCAGCCCAGGAGGCTGTTGGCCTTTTTTTGCCATGAGAGCACATTGCTGGCTCCGTCAAGTTTGTCCTTCAGGACCCGCAAGTCTTTTCCTATGAAGCTACTTTGCAGCTGTCCAGCCCCCAGCCTGTACTGGGCTGTTCTTCCCCAGGTGCCGGGCTTTGTATTACCCTTTGTCAAATTTCATGTTTACCCATTTTTCAAGTCTGTTGAGGTCCCTCTGAATGGCAACATAACCCTCTGGTGTATGAGCCACTCATCCCAGTTTTGATTGTCTGCAAACTTGGTGAGTGTACACTCTGTCCCATCATTCAAGTCAGTAATGAAGATATGAAACAGTTTTGGATGCACCATTGACCCTGGGGCGCTAGTGATTGGCCTCCAACTGGATTTTGTGCACAACTGTTTGAGCCTAAGCAGTTCAGCCAGTTTTCAGTCCAACTCACTGAAAGCTTATCTAGCTTGTACTTCATGAGGACATTATCGGAAACAGTGCCAAAAGCCTTACTAAATTTGAGATAAACAACATCCAGTACTCTCCCCTCACCCACTATGCCAGTCATCTCATCGTACAGCGCTATCAGACTGGTCAGGCATGCTTTCCCCTTCATAAATCTATGCAGCACAAAGTCCAGCTGGAGGCCAGTCACCAGTGGAGTAC